ACATAACCGGTATGGCGAAGAACAACGTAATTACCAAAGATGATTGATCTAACTTAATTAATAACACTAGTTTCTATTAGATGGGAGACTATTTAAATTAATCTAGCATTTTTTTCTTTTTCTTTTGTTCTTTTCTTTTTCTTTTTTAATTTTCTTTTTATATGTTTTTTTATTATTATTATTTTATGATGATCAAGACTAATCATCGAGTTCTTATTGAATAGGAGACTCATTAGGTCAACTCGGATACCCTAAATATTCCAGAAGACGTATTTTTTATGATGATGAGCTTGAGAAGAAATCGTCATCGATCTCTAGAATTTAGGAGACTTTACGATATCTCATCATATTGAAAATAAATCACAAACAAGTAGCAAACACACTTCAAAAATTATGGAAATTAATATATAGACCAAATCAACACTTGGGTAAACTCTAAAAAAATTCAAATTAGATAACTAAAGGACATTGAGCATAAAAATTAAATTTCAAAACTGATCACATTAATAATTAAAACTACAACATAATTATAGAAAAAATCAAAATAAATAGCAAATGGGATTATAAAATTACAAAAATTAGAACATAAGACATGGAAAAAAAGACATATATACAAACCCTAGGAGTTTGAGATTATAATGATAAATGGAATTGGAATTAAAAATAAAATATCAACATAAAGTTAATTAATAATTAGGGTAAATGACAGAATAATAAACAAAATATTAAATAAATATAAAATAATCTCACAAAATTATGAAACTTGACACACATGCCATGTAAAAACATATAAACATACCTAAAAGTTTTTAGATTAATCGGAAACTAAATGCTAGGGAAAACAATTAAATTCCACATGTTATCTACTACCAATTATTAAAATAGAAATTAAATGTTAAATGGATCTCTAAAATTATGAAACTTTAACTAAATATAAAGAACTAATAGATGAACAAACTCTAAAAATATTATATTAAAATAAAACCAAACAAGTAACCTAAATAATTAAATTACATAAACAAACTATACTAAAAAATAAAAATAAGGTAGAATATTAAATATATCCAAAATAAATAGTAAATAAAGACTTAAAATTATGAAACTTAACCTAGTTACATGCTAAGTACTAATACATAAACAATCTCTAAGAATTTCAAAATAAAATAAAACCAAATAGATGGTTAAATAATTAAATTGCATGAACAAGAAATAATAACAATTAAAAATAAATATCAAATAAATAATAAATGGACTTCAAAATATGAAACTTAAAATACAAATCATGGACAATCATATATACAAGCCCTAAAAATATGATACCAAAATACTCAAAGAAGGATTGTCAAAAATTTGTCAATTTTACCTCAAATTAAGAACCCAATTGCATAAAGCTTACAAGTTTAAGGACCAAAATTTAAAAGTAAAAATCTTCTTCTTCTTCCTTACGAATATTGGATAGAAATAGAGATAAAGAACACAAAAAAGAAAAAAGCAATATTTATACTTTTACTTTCCTTTGGTTTTTGTTGTTTTATTCTCTAAAACTTCATTATCTTTTTCACACAATTGTGAATTTTTCTCTAAAATGATTTTTCATTTCTCATTTTCAACCTAAGAGGAGATTATTAGAGAGAAAAAATAAACCATGGATGACGGAGTTTTTACCTTTTTAACTTTTCTTAGCAACAGTTGAACAAAAGCTATTGAGGGATGATTTGAGGACCACCTTGCCTTCCTTTTTTCTTATTTTTTCTTTCAAAACTCAAGTTCAAAAATTTTCTTTTTCTTTGATGGTGTATTTTTTCTACTTTTATTTATTTTATTTTTTTCAAGTCCTCTCCTTTACCAACCTCCATTGCTTCTCTTTATATAGCCTTTTTTATTTCAACCTCACCCTCCATTTGAAATGATCCTAGCCTTTTATTTTTCTTGCTCACCAAGCCCCCCCCCCCCCCAATTTGTTTTCTTGCTGACGTCACTTTTTTTTTTTTTTTTTTTTTTGGTGCTGGTATGGCAACAACAAGATTAAAGGGGAAGGGAATTAGGTGGCGTAGAATGTTTGTTTGGGTTTTAGGGAGGTAGAGGGTACAAAGACAATCGTGACGGGAGTAATAGTGTATGACAAAAAATGAGAGAAAAAATAGTTGATTTTTTGTCTTTTGCTAGAGAAAGAAGAAAATGAATAGTGTTTGGTACTTAAAATATGTGAGTTGCCAAACTATCGGTTTGGTCCTTTATTTTTTAATCTGTACCAATTACACCCTTGTTTTCAATTCAATTTCACCCCTATTAGCTTTCAATTTCAGTCCCAATTTCATTCAATTATGCTCCTATTTCATTCAATATCATCCCTAATTGTTTTTAATTTCAGTTCTTATTTCATTCAATTATGGTCTTAGTTAATTATGTCATCCAATTTTTGTATTTTTATATTTTTCAATATTAATCTGAAAAACACAAGTACAATCTTGTCATAAAGGTAGAGAACTTAATTGAAAGATAAGTGCAAGTATTAAGGTTTATTGATGGGACCGGCCACTCGAGTATAATAATGGAGTTTTCTTTCTTTTTCTTTTTCTTTTTCTTTTTTACTTATAAATAATAGTAAACTTAGGATGTGCTTGATAACCTATTTAAGTAGCTTAAAAAATTAAGTTGTAAAATCTGAGTCAAAATTTACTTAATTATGTAAGTTAAAGTTTTTAACTTAAAACTTTTTTATTAATATAATCAGTTAAAATATTTTTAAAAATTTTTAAATATGAGTATATAGTCTTCATATATTATTATAACTTTAACTATACAAACCAGATATTTTAGATCTACCAAGAATCCTTGTTTATCTAGAACTACATGGACCACTTGACATTTCAAACAAATTTCAAGAGTTGTATGCAAATTGCTTATACAACATTTTCATGATTCATTTGGTCAAAAAAGTGTGACACTAAAAGAGATTTGATCATGCATTATTTCTAGATTTCACAAAACAGAAATTTTCTTGAGTCATCGAGCACCTCCCACAATTGTTTTCAACAATGCCTTCAGCATAAACTGGTTGAACAAAAGAAGTTTGATATATCCTTATATGGAAGAGGATGTTAGTAAACATATCTAACCGACAAGTGACGAGGTTCAAATATTTTTCACTTTTTGACCAGACAGAAATATGCATATGCACGAAGCAATGGATGTAAAAGAGTCTAGTACTATTTCACTGCAAATATTGAACATTTAAACATTTATAATTAATTTATCAGATTAAATTGTAAATGATTTGATTAGTAATTGAGATTTTATTTATTTTATATATGATACTGACAGTTAATGCTATGCTATCTTAGATCATGTTTAATTTTTTTTATTGATTATTTATTTATTTATTTATACACACAAAGATGCATACATATATCACTAAATTATTCAACACTTAAAATTTAATACTTAATAAATTCAATATTTAATTTTCAGTTATATTAATGCTTAAGTAAACTTGAAAACTGAGCTTAACTAATTATAAAATTCTTGTTATAATAGTTTTTTTTTTTACAATAAAAAAAAAACAAAAAAAAACGATATTGCTGCCATTGCTGACCGAAGGCTGAATGCTATTCATGCTTGCCGTTAAAGCGTAATCCCAATTTCCAATTCTGAATGTTTGCTTTCCAATTTTGTGAACTTGATTTAACTGTGCAGTCCCTTTTATTGGTTAAAGTGATGAATTTAGTCCTTGATAATAAATGTCTTTGTAATTAAGTTCAATTCGTTACGTGCCATTTGGTCCTTTTATCAGGGTTGAGGGATTCTCTAAAAGGACGGAGGTAGATTGATGGTTGGAAAATGGAATCTGTGCGCAATTTGGAGAATTTTTTTTAGTTGAAGGTGCTGATTATTCAGTCAAGAAGGAATTATAATTTATTGGAGTAAATTATAAATAAATTGCTCTAGTTATTCAAATGAATTAAATAGTTCTTTTAGTTTCAAAATTAATTAATAAGTAAAATTAACTAATTAAGAAACTTATTAATTAATTTTTAAAATAAAAAACTATTAATAGCCCTCTAAATGCTTGACTACTGAGGATAAGATGTTGAGTTCTATTTATATTGTGTATATTATAAATTAGTTCCTCTAGTTTCTAAAAACGAATAAATTAATCTCTTTCTTTTAAAAAATAATTATTTAATCTCTATATTTTTAAATCTATTTTTAAGTTAATCTTTTTTCCCTTTTTTATTTTTTAAAATATAGAAAGATTAATAAGAAAATAATATATTTTATGAAATAAAGATAATATTAAATTAAGCATGGAGTACATTGATAAATGATTAAATATTAGTTTTTGAAATTAAAAAGATTAATTATTTTATTTCTTAAAACTAAAAGGACTAATTTATAATTTACTCTATTTATGTAGAGTCCATTACATAATTATCATTCATATTTTAACCAACTAGATTTCTTTTTCTGATATTTAAACATCAAGTTAACCCAAATTTTAGCAAACAATTAACAAAGAACAAGCCTAACCCTCAAGCTATAAATTGAAATGAATAAACATCTGTTATCCATTTAAAGTTCTTTATTTTATTTTATTTAAAAAAAAAAAGGTTTGCTAATGTATCCATGGACATATCATTAGTTTGTGTGTGTGCACGAGTATGCGTTGCGCAAGTACGAGCGTGTGGCGTGTGCGTGTGTAAGAGAGAGAGAAAAGGAGAGAGGGAGCGTATTGAGAGTGTAAGATTAACCTACCTTCTTCCCATTTTAAGTATTGAAAAAAAAAACTTTAAAATCAATATAAAAGAACGAATGAAAATGGTAGTTCAACATATTTATTGACTTCAAAGGTGCACTTCAACATTAAAATAATGTTGACTTCTGTTGTTTGAAGCCTTCAAGTTTATCATCGGAAGACAGAGGTTCTAAACTGTACTTCACCTGTGAAGGTAATTAAGTCCTTGAAAATTATCTTTATTTTGTTTAAACTTTATTTTCAGCTATTCCTCAAATAGTGTTTTAAGATTGTAAGGCTTCACAATATCAGAACTTCCACTCCACATTAGCTTCGCAAATTGATAGTTGACACTCTCTGTTGGATGAGCCGAATCAAAGAAGAAATATTCACTAGCATTATCACATAATCGATATCCTTCCCTACCACAAGTCTTGAAGCTTCCGTAAGGACCGCTGCCACAACATGCCTCTTCAACCTCCTTGAAACCTTCATATATAATTAAACCATGTTTACATTCATATCAGGGATGGGAAAACCCTATTTTTCAAGTCCATGCAATAGGGTAGTGCATATTGGACACACATATGGGTGATAACTATACTATGTTGAAAAAGAATTAAAAAAAAAAGAAAAAAAAGAGAGAGAGATATTTATCTATAAAATGAACCAATAATCCATTAACATAGTCTTTCGGATTAAAATAGTATCCATTTTTGTGCGTAAATTCTAATTTGTGTAGGTTTAGGTGTAGATCTGAGTAACTTGTTGGATGCGAATATGAGTGATAATTATTCCACATTTAAAATTAAAGAGAGAGAGAGAGAGAGAAAGTAATAGGCTTATATAACATGGACTTATAATCTCAACCATTTGAGTAAAGGTGGCGTTCATTTTTTTGTGTGTAAATCCTGACGCATGCAAACCTAGATGCAGAAAAGAGTGATTCGCCAGTGTAGATTGCTCTAATAATGCATACCTATTTTGAAGCTATGAAAGTTTAAAAGGTAAAGTGTAATTTCTAAGGTCTGAAAAATTGTCAATTAATCACCTATATCTAAAATTTATTTTTCCATTTGACGAACATCAATTTAGGACATTCCATGTATATCCAGTTGACCCTCCTTAATAGTAGGATATTGTAATATCTCTTTATTTGGCCTTTACTCGCATGATTCGGTTTCCATATGCGGACCTTGTAATCTGTATAAAATCCGGACTTAATCTTTAATACAATATACAATTTTCTCCCTTAAAATCTTCATGGTATCGGATCTTATCTCTCGTCAATTGAACAAAGATTTACTTCTCCCTTTTTTTTTTTTCTTTCTCAACCACTGTAACATCCTACCCTCTATTCTCAATGTCCACACTTGCCATAAACAAATTCAACTCTACTCGAGTCCCCTTCAAAATCCCGTATAGAAGCCGGATCTCCAGCGATCAATTCCACGACCTACAAACACCATGACTCAAAGTAACATTGTTCCCTCTAATGGAAATCGATATCCCTTAATGCCTCATCTCATATTCCATTAAAGCTCTCAAAGGGTGGAGGAAATTATGCATCTTGGAAATCTCAAATGACTAATCTTCGTTTGGTTATGGACTACTTGGTTTCATTGATGGTTCTCGGCCTTGTCCATCACAAGCGGATCCAAACTATACCTATTGGCTTCGTCAAGATCAATTGGTGCTGCTTGGGAATACAAGCAAGCATCCATAACACAATCAGCCCCACCATTAACGATTGCACCGGATCTACGGATGCACGGAACAAACTAGAAACCACCTATGCCAATCGTTCTAGCACTCGAATGCTCTCACTTCGTCCTCACTCATGTCAAACAAAAAGGAAAGGAAGTCAATTGCTACTTACATTAATAAAATAAAAAGTAGTATTGATGATGTTACTCTCATTGGCCATCCGTTAAGTGATGCGAGAAATCATGGCTTACACACTAAATGGCCTTGGTGATGAATTCAAGGAGCCGACAAGCTGTTGTACGCATTCGTGAAACTCACATATCCTTGAAGATCTCCATGATAAGCTTCTTGATGAGGAATTAATTCAGAACCGTGGAGAATCAAAGGAGGATGACTCACCGGTTATTGCTCGGCTTACACAACGTAGAAGCATCCGTGGAGGCAAAGAAGGACGAGGTAACCATGGTGGATTTAATTCCACATACATCCCGGACAACAAACGAGACCTCTCCATTCAATAACAATCAACAAAACTACACTCGACAACGACAACCATATGGTCGAGGGTATTACTCACAAGGTACAAACCTTAATTCAAACACTCACCACTTTTCACCCATATGGAGTTCAACTTCTTATCGGGGCAACCGGAGACAACAACGCATTATTTGTCAACTATGTGACAAGCTAGGTCACAATGCAAAAATGTGTTACTCACGTGGGAGACCATCCTCTCCAACCTCTCAACCTCAAGCTAATCTTATCCACGGTGATTCAAACAACAACAATTGGATTACGGACTCGGGTGCTACACATCATATAACATCGACCTTCAGAATCTCTCCATGCACTCTAACTATGTGGGGAACGAAGATGTGGTAGTCGGCAACGGTAATGGAATTTCAATCTCTCATGTTAACCATGTGGAATCTTAAGCATGGCAAGCCATACATGCAGAACCATTTCCATATAGTTTTAAGAAGCATTCCACAAGATCGTGTGGTTAATTAAACCTAGCACACTCGAGGGACGAAGAAGATCCACATAGGCATAAGCTCTTTACACAATTTACGGTATAAAATCACATGCCCTTGTGGCTAAGCAAGAGAAGATCTACACGGACAAAAGCTTAGCTACATGGTTTGTAAACAAATTCACATGGTCATGTGCAATCTACTTTTCAAGGTTCCAAACCATGTGATATCAAGTAGCAAACCGGGTAACTTTACACATCAAGCCGTATAACAATATAATACTAATATAAAAAGTAATGTAACCCTAGTTTTGGGCATAAATAGCAAAGTGAGGGTATTATTTATTCTCCTCTCGTAGCGACCACTATTCATTGAAACTCTCTCTTGTAACCCATTATGAATAAATGAACACTATTCCCGGTTGAAGCAAGTTAAAGCTTTTGGTTAATCGCTATGAGATTACTTGGTTTTATTTCTAAACTTATCTCTATTTGGTATTTCATGTTTTTCTACATGATTGACTCATAGCTATATGATCAATTCAATTAGAGTGCACGCTAGTTGTTTATTCATATTTCTTATTGCTAGCTAAGTATTCAAGTTTGTTTAATTGCTTGTCTAAACTTGCCTATGGTAGTAACTAGAAGCTAATGGTTAGTGATGTTTTTGTTCAATTCTTGAAAATATAGAACTAAGTTACATCTTCTCTAACACTTAGGAAGGTGGCTTAGCTTCACTGTCTTTCTCATCTTAATGTTATTATTGGATTAAATCTATCTAGCGCTTAGTATGTTGTTTAATAACAGAGCAATTAATTGAGTATCCTATATCGAGTTAACAACTAGGTAAGGAAATACTAGAGTCAATATATATATTGTTTATTTGAATAGTAAACTCTTCGATTTGTTTTAGTTTTTAGTAGAATTTCATCACATATATTGTCATTCTAGAGAGTTCCTATATAGTTTAGTTGACTCTTCAAATAAATTGATATTCCAGTTGGAACGAAAAGGGAAAAAGATTACAACAACTATTTTGTTTTTTTGTTTTTTTCGTACTTTGTTTCTCCAAATTCTTCTTGCTGTTTCTAAACAGTAGCGTGAGTTGTGCCTGAGTGGATGGGAATTTTATTTAATGGTTTTAGACTTGTTAGTAGCCCAATAGTGAAATATGGGCATCAACTTGCATGTTGGCCCCGCTAAGGTTGTAGCCTTTGGGGCAGAAATATGTTCAAAAAAAATGTTGAGATGCCTCTTAGGAACTCGCTTTGTTTGTCTTTTTTGAACATTTTATCTTCATTTTTTACATAGCATTTAATGCTCCTAATCTTGAATTTTTTTATTTTTTTTATCTCGTCTTTCATGTCCAAAATGAGTTTGTTTGCCGAGGGGCATTTCAATTTTTTCATTTTCGATTTCCTCTTTTAAATGACTTTGGGATTGGGTTTGTTATTGTCTTTCTAAATAAACTTTTTAACTTTTGACTTCATTACCTCTCAAATTTTTTTATTTCTCCGATTCAATCTTTCTGAATGGGTGCTTGTGTTTCTTTTTTTGGTTTTGTTTGGATGATGTTTTATCGTAAATTTAATTAGTTGGAATCCTAATTCATTATTACTATTCTAATTTTCAAGCTAGGTTGCTTGGATTGTTCTCTATTGACTCACATGGCCTATCCTGATCATTATTTTTTAGTTTTTTTCTCAGATAAGGCATCTCAACATTTTTTTTCATTGTTTATTATATTTTTCCCCACTTTGTAATTACATGTATTTTGTATTTATTAAAATAAAAAATATTCTTAAGATATATTTAAATTTAATTATATATATATATATATATATATATATATATATATATATATATATATATATATATATAATTAAAGAATTTTTTTACAATGAGTGTTAATTTGTTTTTATTTTATGTTTACATTTTAAAATTATTTAAAGGATTAAAATATAAATGTAATAGACTTACCACCCGCATCACGTGGGTATTGATCTAGTTAGAACTAATTAAGGTTGCTTAGTCTGCCATGATAGGTAAGATTACGAGGAGATCCAAGGATAGGGATGGCAATGAGGCGGGGTGGGGACGGGGATCGCCATCCCCATCCTTGCCCCACCCCTAAAAATTTTTTCTCGTACTTGCCCCGTGCCTCAAACGGGGCAAAATTTTCCATACCATCCCCGCCCCAAATGGGGACGGGGATCCCCGTGCGACAAACGGGGCATAAACGAGGCAAATTTTTTTTCCATCTCATTTTATCCAATTCTACTACTAAATTTTAAATTATAGCAAAAAAATGATAATTCATATAGAAAATAAACCCTAAAAGTCACTAATTATAGATTTTATATGGAGTATAATTATAATTTTAATGAAAAAAATGGGGCAAACGGGGCAAACAAGGCGGGGTAAGCAAATCCCATCCCCGCCCCGCCCCATTCCCCGATCAATGCAAGGAATCCCTGTGTTGATCGAGAAAAATTGACTCGGGGCGGGGAGGGGCGGGGCTCTGTTGGGACGAGACAATTTGCCATCCCTATCCAAGGATGATCATGAAAACAAAGATGCCTATTATGTCCCATTGACCGTGTTTTTAGCCAAATCCCCTAGAGGAGTTAGCTGAATTTATCTTTATATTTTAGGTTGAGTCTCTAATGTCTTGTCTACAAATTTAATTGCTTTTAATATATTTTTATATTTTATGCCGCTCTTCATTTTATTCTTTTACCATATATTTTCATCCAAACTAATGAAAATACTCTCACATGAGACTGGATCTTATTTATTATGAAGAATATTTGAAAAATAAAAGAATCATCATGCTATTAAAATTCAATTTATTTTCATATTTATTAATTTAATAAATTAGATAATATTTAATATTTTTCATCCAAACCATGCTGTTGCAATGTAACTGGCAATGTGTACTAAGCCCAAGTATATAAAGTAGCTGTTGAAATGTCTTGGGTCACCTCTCTTCTTAGTGAACTTGGGGTATTAATGCAATCCAAACTAACGATCTAGTCTGATAATATTGGGACAACATATTTGACTGTCGATCCATTATTTCATGCTCGTAGCAATCACGTTGAAATTGATTTTCATTTTGTCAAAGACATGGTTTCCAAAGAGATTCTGCAAGTGTTTTTTATTTCAAGTCCGAATCAGATTGTCCACATCTTTACCAAATCATTGGCCACTACACGTTTTCAGAGTTCCTAAGGGACAAACCATCTGTTGGTACAAGACCACATTCAAGTAGTGAGGAAGTGTTAAGACAAACCACTACAGAGTCCTCAACTGAAGACTCATCCAAATCTGCCATTGTAGAGTCCCCCTCAACTACTGCTGCGGTGCACTCTACCAAATCTTCATCCTCAGCTGTTGTGCATTCTGCCTCTATCAAGTCTACTGAATATAGACAAAAACTATAACAAGACATCTAGTCTATGTATGTCTCTCTCTCTTTGTAACCGTGTGAGCTTATCCTTTTATGTACAAGTCTATAAATGGAGGTCAACACAAACAGTACACGCACTGGAGAATTATATGCCAATTCACACTTCTCTCCTGCTTAACTAAAGGAAACAGTATTTTCGGAGTTTTGGAAATGAAGTTAAAATAGAGAGTAAATTATAAATTAGTCACTTTTGTTTCAAGAAATGAATGAATTAGTCCTTTTATTTTCAAAATTAATAATTTAGTCCTTTGTGTTTTAATTTGTCAATAACTTAGTCTTTTTGTCACTTTTCTGTAAGATTAATAATTTTTTTTCACAACTTGCTTTTTCTTAATGTTTTATTTATCTTTTTTACCATCCTCTTTCTCTCTTCTCGACCAAAAATTACATGAAATGCAATTTGGAAAGAAATTCATCAATCTAAAGAAAACTTATGAAATAACTAAATTATGGATGAAATTAAAATATGAAGACTAAATAATTATTTAAAAAAAATACTAATTTATAATTTACTCCTAAAAAAGAGGGCGCAACAAGGCTAAACATGAAACATCAAGGATATGTCATCATCAATTGGTCGGAGCTTTTGGTAAGCAGATAACTAAAGGGGTATGTTAGGGGAAAAATATATATTAGTCCCCCACCTATATACAAATTCACAAAGTAGTTCTAATTGTTAAATATTTTAAAATTCTTGCTCAAATTTTCATAGTTTTAACATGTTAGTCCCTCCTTTAAAAATACTTGTAACGGCAATACATGTATCCAATTTCAAAAGAAAAATACAACAGCAATAATAAAGATTATGAATGATAGAGTTTAGACACAAAAATCGAGATTCAAAACAATATGCACACACAATTCTTGAATTACATATACTCATATAATCTTACAATATATTTAGTTGGATACATGTGTCCAATAATAATAATAATAAATTATGAATGATAGAGTATAGACACAAAAATCAAGATCCAAGACGATATGCACCCATAATTCATGGATTAAAATTATTGATTTAATCTTATAATATATTTAGTTGGATGTAATGTAATGATTAATTGCATTATTTAAGTGTGTAATTTTTATATTATAATGTAACGCAAAATAATCACTGTGGTGTCTCATTGCATTACAAACATTACATAAGAAGAAGAGAAAAAAAAAGGCTACTCTGCAATGAATCATTACATGATTAAGCTTTATCATTTAGTGATCTTATTGTAATAAAAAAAAAAAAATCGCCATAAGGACTAAAACGTAATATTCTTTAAGAAGTTGAAAAACCAAAAAACTTTCAAACATGGAGCAGTTGACGAGCACTGATCACCACACATTTTTCTTCTCTACTTTTTACGAAGATTTATGGAGTTTTTGAGCTATTTCTCAAACAGTAATTTAAGGTTATAAGGTTTGATGATTTTAGTACTTCCATTCCACATTAGCTTTGCGTATTGATGGTTGGCCTTCTCGGTTGGATGAAGTCCATCAAAGAAGATATATTGGCTAACATCATCACACAATTGGTATCCCTTCCTGCCACAAGTGAAGGAGCCTCTGTATGGACCACTGCCACAACATCCCATTTTCGCCTCTTTGAAACCTTTAGACAATTTAAATTAAAGAAAAAAAAAATGTAAAGTTGGAGTAAAATAGTTATAATAGTTCAGATGAGAAAAAATGGGAAACCCTTTTAGTTATCAAGTAGAGGATTTACCATATTTTGAAGGGTTATTGAATCTTTCATTTGTTACTTTGTAGAAATCAAAAATTGAATACGTAAATCCTTTTAGTTGGCTCTCAAGCACCTTGAAAGCTTTAGGGATTGCTCTATTGTGTAGTTTTGCAAGCACCGTAGGCTCATCCATGCAGCCGGAGCCACCTGTGGTGGCCAATTTTAGAGCTCTCAAGGCCGGTACACAGCCTAACACAGCCATATTTGATATTCCAAATTTCCTTCCCCCAATCTTATATATTTCCTGAAACACCAAAGTTGATACAATCTTAGTTCGATGAACTTTGAGAGAAATATGAAATAAATATGTTGTCAACATGTTAATTACTTGGATCACGGTTGTTAAGTTGCCGATAACCATCTTTACACTCTCTTCTCTAGAGTAGGATTGAAGAACAGTAGAGTTTGTCAAGAAAGATGACAGGTAGTCATTACTTCCAATGTTTAACATGTAAACAGCTGTGGATAACAATTTCTTAACTTCTGAAGCTCCTAGTTTTTGCCTTAGCTGCTTCTCCAGATTCTTGAAATAGCTTAGTTGAGTTTTAAGGTCTATCGCCTTTGAAGGAACCAAAGAGGAAAGAATGAGAAACAAATAATGATAATCATAGTACAAGTAATGAAACAAATTAAGAGCACGATCAGCATAATCCACTCCAACAAGTAGCAATTTTTTTAGCTTATTGACCATAATCGTAACATTTACCCATAATAAAAGAAAAAAAAAAAAAAGAGGCATAGGCAATATATAGGACTACATACTATTCCTTGATTAGTTTCAACAAGAGCACCAGCTCCTCCTGATGCGAAGTTCACTCCATTTCTGAATTGATGGTAGCCGCCGGGTTGCAAATATGGCGGAATTAATGGCAGCTTTGCAAACTCAGCTGCAGCAAAATTACAAGGATCATTTTGCAAACCGTTTTCTACTGTTAAATTTATATTCATCACATGTGTTTTTTTTTTTTTTTTTTTTTGTGGTTGGAAATCCTACTTTTATGGATACGTTAAAGAACATTGCAAGAAATTGTCCTTACCAATAAAATCTGGAATTAATCGACCATCAGAAGCCCTTCCTGTAGGATGCTTGAAAAAGTCTCTCCATATGGAGTGATATTTAGCCGATTCGGCTGACCAGAAGCATTCTTGAAGTAATTATTATTCCCAGCGTCATAGTAGGAATCTCCAAAGATAAACAAGGCAACATCAGAGTAACTGTGGCTGCTTGTCGGGTTGAGAAGAATTGCACAGAACACCAAGAAGCAAATGCTATTGAACCTCCAAGTCCCCATGTTTTTAAGTGGTTCCCTTTCCCTTTCTTCTTCAACACCACTTTTATTTATAGGCATATAGCAAACAGATGATGAAAAATAGATGCTGACTGGTGTTTAAAAAATGCACACTTTTTTTTGTATTAAATTCAACAGCCGTCTCTGAATTTTCTGCTTTCCTTGTCGTTTTCAATATTTTTTCTTCCTGACAAGAGGGCATGTCCTGCCACGGCTTGCTCCTCAAGGTATTAATGGGATAATTGCACTACAAGTATACCAACTCTAACTTTTTCTCATTCGAATATATAAATTTTAATGTTTTTTATTTTAAAAAAATTATCTATTAATTACTCTTGTTAATTTTTTCTTCAACCATTAAAGTAACCTGTTACTCTCATAATACCAAACTACAATTTTAATCTTTTTTTTTCCAATTGAGTATATAAACTTTTTTTTCTTTTGAGTTTTGAGTAAACTAATTTTTTTAAATTGTATCAGTTAAATACTTAAATCAATTTATCTTTTAACTGATAAAATGTTTGTTGCCTCGAGTATATCAATAATAATTTTACCCTCCTTTTGTTATATAAAACTTTCCTTCCAAATTATTCTATTATTTCAAAATTTAACCAAAAAAACTTTATTTTTCTTAGCTATAAAGTTGCCAATAAAATCATTTAGGTTTTCTATTTTTTAAAAAAAAAAAAATCAGTTAGGTTTAGGTTTGAAAATTAAAAAAAAAAAAAGAGAGAGAGAGAGACATATTTGAGATTTTTATCAAGAAGATTCATTGCTTATGAGCATTTGAATTGAAAATTTTCCTCCAACAAAAAGAGAGCAAAGTTATAATTTAATATTCTAAGGGTAACGAGATACGTCATTGGTTAATAGGAAATTGATAACCAAAAAAAAAAAAAAACAACTTGATTGACAATTTTGAAGCGATCTGTGTGATAAAATGAAAAAAAATTAAACTTCTTGTACTCCATTGAGAAAAAAGAGGATTAAATTATAATTTAGTATTTTGAAAATAACGGACACGTCATCAATTAAGTTAATGAAAAAATTGATCAACGTACTTGATTAGTAATTTTGAAAAAATTAGTGTATTCAAATAAAAAAAATTAAAACATATACTCGGTTGAAAAAAAAATTAAATTTACTATACTTATAATGTAATTATATCAGGTATTAAATGGCTTGATTCACCCTATTCTCTTTCAAGATGGGGCTTTGTTAGAAGGAAAGGGTAAAGAGAATGGATTGTAGGAAATGTCCTTCTTGACATATTCTTAATATAGTTTTTCTAATCTTTTTTATTTATTTATTTGGTCCTTCAATTTTAGATATATTTTTAATATGGTCCGTCCATATATCTTCTTTTTTTTTTTGTGGACACGTCTAAAATATAGAATTTTACACTGCAATTTAAAAAAAAATAGACAAAAAAATTAAAAATAATTTAAAAATGAAAAATTGAGAAATACTAGAAATAATAAATAAATAAACAAGTTTGAAAATTCTTAAGAAATTTGAAAAATGGAAAAAGGAAATGGCAAAGCTTTTAGAAAAATGCAATATTTTAAATATTTTTAAAATGAAAATATACACCACTCTTCTTCTTCTTTTCATTTACCTTTCAAAATTTTAATGCAAAAAATTAAAAATATAAAAATTACCAATTATTAAAAAAGTTCAAAATTTTATAAAAAAATAAGTTAAAAGCTACCCTTCATTGAAAATTTAAAAAGAAAAATAAATAAATAAATAAGGGTGACTTGACATATTTTCATTTTTCTCTTTTATGACATCTGAATATTAAAATACTTCATTTCTTTCTTTCTTTTTTAAATGCTTTTCAATTTCCATTTTCCATTTTTCAATATAAGTTTATTTTTTACATTTATTAGCAATTTTCAAATTGGAATTTTTATTTTTTCTAATATTTCTCAATTTTGTATTTTCTTTTATTTTTCAAAATTTCGAGCTCAATTCCATGATTTTTACACTTGCCCACATTTAACTAAAAAATTGATAAAATTATAACAAAAGAATCACATTAAAAAAATGTTTAGAGCAGAGGAATGAGATGAATAAAACAATAAATAGAAAGACTACAATTAGAAAATTAAAAAAAAATAAAAGGTACTAAATATGCTAGTAATCCAACGTAAGAATAGGAAATGGTGTGAAACTCTTCGCTAGAAGACAGTCAATAAGCAAAACTCTCACTAAATTTTAAAAATTTCGCAAAAGACAATATTCGATATAAGTATATTGACAACGGTTGGTCATCATCACTCGTTAAAACCATGTATGAATTATGAGAATAATTGACAACACAGTTTATGAGAAGTAACATGTGATTACTACTGATAATAGAACAAGAACGAGCTTCTAATCATTTTAAAGGGAAAATTAGAAGGAAAAAAAAAACAACGGAAGCTCTTTGATTTTGAAATTAAACTCAAAAATCACTATCAAATAAGAACAATATTCTACCGTCAATTTTTTTTCAAAAACCGTTTATATTGAATACTTTATTTAATGATTACTAGTTAGATACTCGCGCTATGCTATAGTCAAATAACCATTACATATATAAAATTAACAATTCGTATAATATAGCGTGAGTAGAAGTTTTATTTATGATGATTAATATAAATCGAATTTATATATTGAGCAAAATCGTTTAATTTATATATATTTATTAACAAAATATTTAATAATATTAGCATAAAAAATTTTATTTGAATAATTGAGAGGTTCTTTAAAAACACTATCTAATTTATTTTATTTTTAAAAAAAATTAGAATATAAAAAAACAAATAACAAATAATTAGGATTATATGTGCAAATATGTAATTAATTTCTAATAAAACCAATGATATGCGCACACATGTGCGCATGATGCGCGCGCGCGCACACACACACACACACACACACACACACATATATATATATATATATATATATATATATATATATATATATATATCATACTTAACAAATTCAGAGCATATAGAATAAATAAATAAATATAAAAAAACACCTAAATTGTAGAAAAGTATTGAAGTCAATAGATTAAAATAAAAACTATAATAAAATTAGTTTTGATAAATTCTAAATAAATATACATAAAAGAACAAATAAAACTTGTGAATTCATTTAACTGATTATTAATTTAAAAAAAAATGAGTCAAACTATCTAAAGCATACTTTTAGCTTTCTATTTCTCTATCTCGGAATTTATAAATTATAATGATATATTTTAAAAAATAAAACACTCATTTAAAAAAGCAAAAGAAGAGTTTATAGTATAAATTATAATAATATAGTTTTAAAAAATAGAACACTAATGATCTAAATTTTTATTCCAAAATTCATATATTAAAAAACTAAATTTATGAATAAATAAAATTATATTAAAAAATTAATTTGATGAGAATTTTAGTAAAAAGTAATAACCGAAGAAATAAATTTTAAATAATAAAAATAATATAATCAGATATATATGTTCATACTAAAATCTAAAAAAATATCATATATATTCAATAAATTTCAAACTGTATGCGAAACAAAAAAATTAATATATATATATATATATGTTGGTTTTACTCATCTTCTAGCCGTGACACGAAGCATTCAAGCCTCTCATGATATCATCTTACTTAATTCTATACACAAAAAAAAAAAAAAAAAAAGAGGAGAAAGTTTACCTCCATATTTCATAGCATATAGAAAGAAAATGCTTAACATTATCTGAAAAAAATTAAAGAACCGTGTAGCACAGAATATAGCAATATGCATGTGATATTTTACTTTGGTAGGAAGCTTGCTTTAAATTTCTCCGTTCCAAGCCAAGTGCTAAACTTTTGAAAAATAAAAAATAAAAGGGGGTCAGCGCTGGCACCTGGTGGCCTGTCACCATGACAGGCCAGCGCATATATATATATATATAGAGAGAGAGAATAAAATAAAAACAGGCTTGCGTGCTAGGGCAGCTAAGGCCTGCGCATCAGGCTTGGGCTGCTGCTTAAAACAAAACATATAATTTTCGACGATCGAGGATTAAGTTTTAAATTTATAGAACTTGAATCCTGACATTATATTTTTGTTTCAAACACTTTTAAATAATCGAAATAAAGATAATAAACGTATTTAAAATCTTAAAAATTATTTTAATGCTCACAAAAGCAAAAACAAAAAAAGTACATAATCACATACAAACGTTTTTTTTTTTTTAGCTATGATCTATCTTCTCTAATTGTTTAATAGCTGGAAAACATCATAACTAAACTCATCTCTCAAAGATAAAAAAAAAAATCTAATTGATTTTTTCCGATTAAAATGACCTAAATAAGCTTAACGGACGATTTCTCTCTCCTCTTGTATCTCTCTTCCTCCCTCCTCTCTATACGTAGGGACTAAAATGGATGAGAAAATAAAGATGTGTATCAAAATATTCGTCTAAAAATAACAAGTACCAATACGTAGATAGTTGCATAATTTTGACACCCATCAAAATGCAAAAAATTACAGAAAAACTATCCACAGGCACTACAGCATTTGAACGATACAAATATGAATTTTTTGTCATTAAAAAAAATAAAAAAAGAAAATAAAAGTTTCTATAGAAGAGAGTTTGAGGGAGAGAAATTGAAAAAAGGAGAAGAGGATTGGAAAATTATGGGAACTGAGAGTGGTAGAAGTGGAAGTTGAAGGTTGACATTCAAGTTGGTATGTAAAAGGCCAGAGCCAAGAAACTTTGGACGGGAGATTAGGGGGAAAAAATGAGTAAATTATAAATTAGTCCCTTTTATTTTGAGAAACGAATAAATTAGCCCTTAATTTTAAAATTCAATCATTTAGTTCTTTTTTTAATTTATCTTCTTTTCTTAAAAGAAATGGAAAAGAAAAAAATAAGTAAAAATTATGGAAAGATTAACGAGTAGATGGTACATTTTATAAAATAAAAAAAATTATTAAATTAGTTATGATCAACACTAGTTAAAAGAATTAAATAATTAGGTTTTAAAACCAAGAGAGACTAAGTAATTCGTTTCTCGAATAGAGAGAATGAACTTGGTTACGAGATTATGTTAGGATTGCTCAGGGCTTTTCAATAGTTGTTTTTTTTTAAAAATTTTCTTTTGTATTGTGAACCAATAGTACTTCACCGGAAATATTTTATCCTTTTTATATATAAAAAATCGTTTTTTATCCTTTTCTTTTGTGATTCGTTTATCTAGTAGTTTTTGTTTTTATTTTAATTATATACTACAATTAAAAGAAAAAATTGAGATCACCATTATTTAAGAAACAAAAAGAATGAGGGGGTGGGGACTTGATTTTGAAAGGGAAAAACGAGATGAGAAAAACATGAAAAAGGCAATACGTGAGAAAGGATTGGCTATAATCTCATCTCAATTTGAACCGTGTGATCAATTTTTGCTTAAACAAAAAACGAGGGGTGAGGAATTAATTTTTATCTTCTTTTTATTTTTAATTGAGAGGTAAAAGCATTAATTTGGGCTACACAATGAATTAAAACTCTTTCCTTACGTTACAAATGAAGGAATTAAAATCATAATATTCGAACATGCTCTACTAAAAAAAAACTATAGATGCATAACCAATTCCAAATCTATGTATGATATTATCTGTACAGAATCAATCATTAAGGAGGAGAAAAAATTAACCCTCCTATTTTGTTTGGATTGGTATGGTGGTGAGTGGTGACAAACATGGTGGGACAATGACTCAAAATCACAAAAGGATGGAGAACAGCCAACATGATTGTGCAACTTTTCAAACTCTTTTTTAGCCAACAAAAGATTTTTCCAGATCTTTCCGTGACGTAATCGGTCCTTCTCTGCTTGTTGCTGTCTTCAATCCATAGTTTCCGCCGCCGCCGCCGCCGCCGACGGCGAAAAAACAAAATACCTCTTATTCTAAAAATATTATTTTACTTTTTATTGATATCTGTCTCCAAATAATTATCTTATCAAAATTTTAAATACTATAATTTTTTAAAAAAATATTCTTAATCAATTCATTTTTCATTTCTTATTTTTTTGCTAATTAACTAGAAAATCAATATTTTTTTTACACGTAAATATTTTTAACATAAAAAATTTCAAAAAGAAAAATTTTTGTTACATGAAAATTTAGAATTCCTTAATATTTTTTAAAATAAACTTAATGATCTATCTTTTTAAAAGTTTTGAAACTCAAATTTGATAGAATAGAAGAGTAGTTTAGAAAAATAATGATAAAAAAGATTGATGTATCATAATAATTAATTTATTTCTTAAACTGTGTATAAAATCAAACGGGACAAACATTTTAAGACGGAGTAATTAAAAAAAAAGCTCGAAACGATAAATTTTATTCTGCTCACATAATAATCCATTAATTTGTTTTTAAGTGATTAATTGTTGTTCTAATGGGTATTTATAATTATTGCAAACCTGCTTGAAAATGTTACGATTGAGATTACATTTTTTAAAGAATTATGTCTATTTTAACGTGTCAAATCCAAAAGTTCAACAAATTAAAAACCCCAACAAAATAGAAACAAAAATCAATTGAAAAAAAAGAATTTTCAATGACTAACAAAAAATCACTAGGACTCAAATCGAATCAAAGTAACTGCCGAAGGTAAAGGATAAAGTGTTAGCTATCGAAGCTCAAAAATTTACATAGAAGCATAACAGAAAGAGAAGGAATTAAACAAACAAATCCACAACATTTTTAGATTTACGTTCAACCATCTTCAAGGATCTAGGTTGTGTTATGATTATCTACCAGATTGGGTGCTGGTTTGATCATTTCCACTTTGCTAATTACTAACTTCTTTTCCTACACTATTACCTCACCAAACATTCAGAGGCAAACCATTGTCTCTCGTAGTTTAAACAATGTGCAAATCCAACTAGTGATTACATATGCAAAGCACTTCACCAATACAGAAAATGTCTTGCTTTAGTAAGGGGAACAAAAAAAAAAAAATCAAAATAAACTTTAGGCTCCCACATTCAAACATGATATAGACGCATCACCAAAGTTAGGCATGACCAGCATCCATGAACTTGGCACATATTCAGGCAAATTTAAAGATCTGAGTTTTCAATGAAAGCCACAAAACAGCTAGCCCAAGTAAAACTCCTAAATCCCTGACATCGTTTCACAAACTTCATTCTTTTTTCAACAAATCTAGCTAAAGTTTACTATGGCGAATGTGCTGACTCAATTTGACTAAATTCCATGTATAACCATCATAATTGCTGTCAAAACACACACTGATAGTATATAAAATCTGATAGTATATAAAAACATATAGGATATAAACGAAAATGACAAAATACTAATTAATAAAGCATGAGTGAACTTTCTATAACTTCAAAATAATCCATAGGTATTAACAGTAAATATGGAAACTAATTCAGCAACATGAAGCAAAATACCCAATTGAAGAGTTTGATTTGACTAGGTACGAACAGCTGCCCCAGCAGGACGAGGAGCTTGACCAGGCTGACCAGGCTTTGGCATATCATCCTGAAATATGTAATACAAGAAAAGACAATAAGTAAAACTTCAAACAGACAGAACAACTTAGGACTTGGGACTAGAAGGAAGCCACAAGAAAGCTGTAAATACAAGTCCACAAACAGCACATGTACACAATAAAACCTAAATCATTATTCACCCAAAGAGCAACTCAGACTAAATGACTTGAACGATTCATTTCCAAGAAATTACAAATTCAACAGACAAAACAGTACACAAAAACTTGAATGCAAAAACAAAGTACGTCATCCTAAAAACGAAAAGAATTTGCAAATACATGAATATAAAACACGGGGAACCATCGTATGTCCAGTACTTAGTAATATACTAAATAGCAATTCAGTTGATCATGACAAACAAAACAATGAAAAATGAAATATGGGAAACTTAAATTTCCATCAGGACTGACAGTACCACCAATATCAAGCATCAAACCATCAAAAATATCTAAAAATTAGATCAAACAAAAGAAGGCAACCGATTGAATACTCACCTGTAACATAAGCACAATTATATTTAATTAAGAATTAAAAGAAGGGAAAATAAAGAATAGGCACCCTGCGTCTAATGAAACGCTGTGGAGGCTCCCTGTTCCTGCGGTCAGAGCGAGAGCGAACCCTCACAACACGGGAGTGAATAGCACAAGAGACACAGTACTGCATCTTGATGTAAAGTTTTGGCAAGACATACCCTAATACCACAAGGAACATTCAAAAACAAAAATTAATAATCAAATCAAACATAATAAAAAAAAATTAAGTAAAAATGATTATACTTAGTTATTTACCATCATAAACACAGGACTCTTGAACATCCCTAACGGCTGCTTGCTCCACGATGTTCCTCACGAGAAACCTCTTAATTGCCTTGTCCTTTTATTATTGATTTATTATTCATCAAAATCCAAAATAAACAAACAAATTAATCAAGATCTTTCTAAAAATAATGATTTATAGAGCGAAAAGAAAACGCGGTACCTTGGGACAGCATTTTCCGCAGTTGGAGCAGCGGACGAACTTGACGTGTCCACGGCCGTGCTTGTTGCGCCCTCCATTCCTACGCTTGAATGTCTGCACGATTGAAAAACAAACAGATCATGAAGACAAGAAAACGGAAAGAGTTTCTTACAAGAGATAGTGTTTGGTTGATGTAGATTGCGGTGGAGCTGAGATCTGACGGACTCACCATGGTTGCCGACGGTTGTTACTGACGAAGGCAGCTTAAGGGTTTGAAGAGCTTGCTGTTCGGGAGGGGAACTTTCGGTGCGGCGCTAACATTCTAGGTTTTCTAATACTCTAGCTCTTCACTCGCCGGGCCGGACTTACTTTGGGCTGGTTTGGGCCACAGGGCTTTAGATATTTTTAGGTTGTTTCTTGTTAAAATCTCTTTAAATATTAATAATAATAGCATACTAAATTATTAGAAAATTAATTAAAATATACTTTTTTATATATAGGGATAATTACCATAAAAAAATTCTAAAAAATATTATATCTAAAAAATTCACTAATTTATTTTTAAATGTTTTGAACCCAAAACAATATTTTTCGTTTTAGGTTAAGGAGATTTAAAATTATTGAGTGTTTTGATAAAAAAAATATTGTTTTTGGTTTGAAAGATTTAAAAATAAATTGATGAATTTTTTAAATAGAATATTTTTTTAGAAGGTTTTTCTAGTATATATACATATATGACAATTATTTTGGAGTTAGTTTATATGTTAATGGAGAATAAAAATAACTTCACTTGAAAATGTTTAATAATTAACAAAATTGCAGTAGTAATTATGAAAAACTAAATGATACATTTTAATATAGGAGATCTGAATTATTCAAGAGAGTCGTCTTAAGCGAAAGGGGCTATAGTCACTTAACCAAATGATTTTGAAATTTTTGTATAATTTTTATGTATACAGAAAATTCTTTAAGTATCTTATGATTTTGTGCATTCAATGGAATAGCGAGAGATTAGTCCATCAACTGGTGTTCAAGATACCGAATAATTACAAGACAAGTTCCTTGGACGAACAATGCACTCACCATTGTAATTTGTCGGAGCTGCAGGATACAGAAATGGAGTTAGAAAGCTCTTACAAGTGCCTCTTACTGTTTTGGGGTCCCTGCAATTCCTTTCACTTAAGGAGATCCCTTTTTATGTTAAAACAGTGATCTAATTTATTCATCAGGGATGCTGCAATTTTAACTTGTTTTGTGGAACAAGAGTCTGTCATGTGTGCAGCAAGTTGATCCTCCACCAGCACATTTGTATGATATTTTTAAGGTCCTTTTATTTGAAATGGAGGCACTTCATATTTGCGGTGATTGAATTCATAGAACTCCATACTTTCTGTGATATGATATGTGGTTCTGTAATTTTTAAGGTTGCCAGGGCCCAGGAGAACAAAAAACATGGATGTTTTTCTTATTTTCTGTGAAGATAAATAACTTCGAAACAGATTTGCTCCTTATATCTTGAGGAGTGTATTTGGTGATGAGACTGATGTTCTCGAGCTCTTGGTCGTTTCCGTTCATGAAGCTTTCTCAGAGTCTGGTCTTGTTGGATTTGATTCGGTATCTTGAACACCAGTTGATGGACTCAATTCCCAGAAGAGTGGCCTTCATCTGCTACACCGTTGTCACTTTCCTACTCTCTTCCAGAACTTTTGGACAAGGAGGATGTTTCTGAATCAATTGTTTTGAATATACGAAGGTTGGTCAATGATTGTGTTGTGGTATCAGGGTCTTTGGCCGATAGCATATCAAATTTGTATCAGACTTTGGATCAGCAGAGATTTGCCTGGTTTTGGATTTGCTGCGGAGAAATTGTCTTGAGGAGGACAGGATGAGTGAATTTTATCATTTATGGAAAACTGTCAAGGATCGGATTGTTTTGCCATTCTCCATACAACGTACCGAGAAGACTAGTGCTACTCTTCCGTCTTGCGTTATGCACCCATCATCAGATCTGAAGCTCGAGATTTTGGAGTTACTTCCTGCCAGCGATGTTGCGAGAACTGCATGTGTTAGTTCGAAGATGCAGAGTTTGTGTTCGAACAATGATTTATGGAAGCAGAAGTATGTGGACGAGTTTGGATATGAATCCGAAACACAAAGCTTCGGCAATTGGAAAAGCAGATTTGGCTAGGATTGGATTTGGAAGATTAACAAGAACAATTATAAGGAGACAAGATCGGAGTCCAACCTGCAGGATTTCTTCGACTCCGTAGGCTCTTTCACTTCCCAATTCAGGCCTTCTCTGCTGGCATTGAATACTTATTATAAGGAGAAGGAGATTAGTCATAGCTCAAGCAAAAGCAAATTTCTAGATATCGATGTTTTCTGCTAGATCTTATAGTAGCATGATGTCCACTAGAGAAAATTAATTGTGTAGTTTCTGCATGCATTTGTTCCATAAGAAAACTGTTGAAAGTTGAAACGTAAATTATCCATCAGCATTAGAAATTAGAGAGACGGAATACATAATCAAACTACCAATTACAGCAAATTAAAAAGATCAATCACATAGATATAACAAACAAAGAAGCTTCAGAATGATCCTTGTGAAGCTCTTATACACTGACATACAAATTCTTAACAGAGAATATAAAAGATCAGCCATGGTCCATTGCACAACTTGCTATACAAGAGATAATATCAGAGCAGGAATACTGCAACCGAAGTCCTGAAACTCTCAAAGTTTTAGTGTGAGATCTGGCGCAGAATCGTCTAAGTCCACCGGTGGTGTTGCCCCAAAAAAATTCATAGTTGAACTTCCTGTGAGTACAAAACTTTGGTGAGCATCGTCCGCCACAGCTACCTGTCGAAAACTACCAGGCCATAGCAACTCTGCCTCGTCATCATCCATGAATATTGGCAGACCTGCATAACCTTGATCAAATCTTGCACTGCTTCTTATTTCTGGTGACTTTACTGATGATGCATAGTTTTGGTGCACAGAAGAATGTGCCTTGATTCCTAGGGATCGAAACGAGGATCCATGTAGAGGCAACGATGATAGGCTGGCATACCTTTCCGAGAAAATACCCATTCTTATTGCACGCTTTGCTAATGTTCTTTCTCTCTTGTGAGCATTTTGGTGTCCACCAAGTGCCTGAGAGCTGAAGAATTTACGCTGACAGTAATTGCATGAAAAAACCCGTGGTATTGCTTCGGCTGTAGTGCGCGATGCAGGTTCGTTGCTACTCTCACTTGTGCTTGACAATGAGAGTCCCATTGAGTCCCTTCCTCCTAGCTCATCATTATTGAAGCAAAGAGTTAAGTCAAGGGAAACCATGTCTGAACCGGATTGTGTTGCTGTGGCATTTGTGAGATAAGAAGAGTTAGTGAGGCTGTCATTGGAGGGACCTGCAGAAGCTTCTTGGTTTGATAAGTTGGAAGCTACTTGGCTGCTAACTTCGGAAACGTCTTCTGAGGAGGCCTCAACTTCAAGATCAATAATTGGTTTCATCTTTGTTGATATTGCTTAATACCGCAACGAAATACTCCGCATTTATATTTTCTGAGCAGTAGCTAGATTGAGTAGGTTGAAACTAGATGTTTTTATCCTGCAGAATTCGGCATGATGAGTAAATGGTGTTTCGCAGTTCAACTTTTCGGAATCAATAAAGACACTGAAAGTTATAGCAAGAAATTTATCAGCAAGGCAATCTCCAAAATAAAAACATAGATTTAGAGCTCTGAAATCTGTTTGCAAAATACGATAACAGAATATCAATTTAACAGAAAGAGGAATGAAATTAAAACAAACAAATCAGATAGCAAAACTAGGAGATAATATTACCAAGCTTACCAAGATTACATTTTGTCTATTGATAAAGGTGAATTGATGACTATTGTTTGAAGAAAAACCTAAAAGGCTTTAAATCATTTGATCGAACTTGTGCTGTCATAATCGAACCTAAGTGAGTCGATGGCTTGATGCATTATACATTCAAACACAAAAAAATTAGGCCTCTGTGTCGTGCCCTCACTCCAGTGGTCCACTGTGAGCTGCTATGAGGCTATGTTTCCTCCACGATTATATTCATATATAGTGGGCAATGATAAGGACAGTAATAGAAACAGAACACTCTTCTTAACTGGTCTTCGTTTATCTCAAGAAAAATGTGGTGACAATAAAATTAAACAACTGACAGAATATATAGAGATCAAGCTTCATCACAAGCCAGACAAAATATATAGAAACAAAAAACATGTGAAATAATCTACTCTTCAAATCTCAATGAATCCAAACATCTTAGAACTTTAAAAAAAAAAAAAAAAAACTGATATTCTCATATTACTAAGCAATATCATCTCCTAGGTCAAAATTTTGAAGGGCCAAAAATAAGTTGAAGGAAAGGAAAACGCAAAGCCTATCAGATGAAATACAAAAAGGTAAACTTAGAATTCTCAGTTTAAGATTGAAGGCTTATTTGATTCTTTTTCCTTAAGAATTATGAACAGATACAGGCATTCCAATTCGATTCAAAGAAGTCCAATTCGCAACGAAGGGAACGTAGTTAAGTAAATATGAGCTAGCAGAAGCAGCAGTCTTACTCGCAGGAAGGGAAGATTGTGTATGCTTATAAGCAAATCATGAATATTGATCAACATAGCATTTCACCACAATAAATTCAGTTCTTCGGTGGAATATCTGAACCCAACCAAACAAAATTAAGTATCCTGCCATTTTCTATTGTAAAAAAGCACCAAAATCCATGTTTGCAGAACTTAATTCATGTACTGTTACTAGGAAAAAACTGAATAAATTTAGACTGCTTTTGAAGGACTTCAATCTCATTATCAACCTAAAGTAGGTAGAGCAACCATCAAAACCACAAGAAGAGATTCCAAGAGAAAGGTAAGGAAAGAACAGAAACAGTAAAAAGGAACATCAAGAGCTACAAATCATCAAGTGACACACTTTCTTGGCAATAAAAGACAACAAGAGCTAAACAGATGAAGCTAGAGAAAAAGGAAAAAGATAGCATAGGTAGAGCTTTACCATCCTGAACAGCAAGTGGAGCTGGCTGCTGCTGCCAAGCTAGCTAGTGGAAATCAAGAAATAGAGCACTGCTAACAAATTGGAAACAAGCACCTGGCTAACCAGTACTGTTCCCTGAATGGTTGGTTGATGATCATCACAAGACAAAACTAGCTTGTGGGTTGGATTCTTTGTTTCAGCAGCAACACAAATAGAGAAATGATAATGGAAAAGGAAATGGAAAGAGAGAGAGAGAGAGAGAGAGAGAGAGAGGGGTTAGAGATGGTGGGTATTGATGTTTAATTATGGGAAAGCAAAGCAAAGGCAAGAGGAGAGAGTGGGGGGGACAGTGTTGAGGAGTCAGATAAGTCAGAGAAAAGGCATTGTTGTGTTGGGACTAAATTAACCAAAACTAAAAAGATAGAAAAAAGCAAACATGACCTATGACTTAAAAGAGTCTCTCAACTAAACTGTCACAAAGTCTTTAGCCAATGTACTTGTTGACGTTTTTGTTGATTTTCGAGCAACTTCTCATGACAATCAACTCAACTGCCTGCCTACACACAAAAACACAAGTACTACTACTACTACTCGCAGCTACAACTGGGATAAGAACATATGTACAGCTAAAACAAGCAAAACAGTAGTAATAGTCATTAGTCCCACAAAAAGATTCTCACTTTCTCTCCACTTCAAAAGTTTATGCAGATAAATCCAGAGTTCATGGGGTCACTCGAGTAGTCATCATTTATCAGATTCACCATCAAATTTCCTGTGCAACCATGTCTAGCTTAACCATACCAAGAACTACCTCCACTTCATTCTTGCATGACATATATATATAGGATCAGGACATGCATGTAATGCCATAGCAACATGTCCTAAGAACCTTAACCTACCGAAAAATTAAAGGGACATGTTCCTTACAAATACACCTGTTATTTTGTGCTTCATTATTGTTCCTTCTTTTGTGTTTTTTAATCTTCCAATAGGCTCCTTGTGTAGTCCTCAGAGAGTAGGAACAGATCAATTGCTATTATATTCATGGCAGGAATCAATTATATGTTGTCTTAGGTTCTCATGTACTTTTTCTTAGTTATAAATTCCTCACAGGATATTTTATCTGGGCTGTGCAACATTGACCTTACTGTTTGATTTTAGTGGATTTAATGTTCTATTAGAGTATCAATCATCTAAAATTCAGCCAATTAGCAAGAGCTCAAGTTGCTGTCTTTTCCTTTTCTTTTCTTTTTTTTTTTTAAAAAAAAAAATCCAAGTTGAGATCATATCAGTACTATGAATTCTACCTTAAAATTGTCTCTAAAGCTCACATAGTTTTTATTGAGGGCATCCTGTCTAAAGCTGAAACCTAAAATTTTCCAACTCCTTTGTCTTTAAAGCAATAATGGCAGATGTCTTCCTCATTCCCAAAAACTCCATCCAGGTAACAAAGGTTGATGCTTATTGGTACCCATGCCACACTAAATAGTCATTGTTAATTGGGTCATCATCCATGTCTCTATCCCCTTCCTCGTTTCTTATCACAGTACAACTCATTATCTAAATAACATAGTAAAAGTGTGCACAAAATTCAACAAGGCAATGAAGTTGTTATGAAAATGGAAACAGCATTAACTGATGAGTTGAACACTGTAATTGAAATGGTGGTCCAATGCACATTTCAGATCATATACAGTAGAATATGCGACTGAAGCTGACATGACTCCTCCGGGTCTTTCTTGGGGCCCCAAAAGAAGGATGAAAGAAAGAAAGAAAATATGAGTTGCAAATACATTTCACATGTCTCCTACTCTGCTCTCCTTTTTTTTTTTTTTGAGTTCAGCTCAAACCGAAAAATTAGGGTAAATGATTGAGCTTTATTAGTTATTACAAAAGTAATGTTCAGCCCAAAAAAAAAAAAAAAAAAAAAATTATTGCAAGGATGATTATTTCCCAACCCCCATCCATCCACTAATCCCTTCAGTTGAAGTTTGAAATAATTCCCTCCAATATGTCTTCGACCTCCACTTGTATTCATTCTACGAAAAAAATAAAATAAAACTCACAAACACACATAAATTTATAATGTCTAATTTAAATCCATGAGTCACTGATATAAGACAATAACTAATCAGACAGCTATTTCTTACAAACTTACTGCCCTCGAGAAGAAAAACTTAAGAACTCTCATTATGGATTAATTTTGTTTAGTTTCATGATATGTGATTGATGAATGAGATTAAATCGATTTTTCTTTAACCTCCGCTTTATTCAATGTTGGTAGATTCGAATGACACGTATCATTTTTATTCATTAAAAAAAGAAAAGAAAAAAACTCACAAACACATATAATATCAAATTTATCATGTCTAATTCAGATCCATGAGTAACAATATAAGACAATAACTAATCAGATCTCCTACAAACTTACTGCCCTCTAAAGGAAAAAGTTAAGAACTCTCTCGTTATAGATTAATGTTGTTTGGTTTCATGAGATGTGATTAATAAATGAGATTAAATCTATTCTTTCTTTATGGGTAAGAACTATGACAAATGGTAAGAATCTGACTTAAAATACGAAGATGTTTTGTTCTATTTTATCTAAATCACTATACATGAAGCTGTTTTTTGAAAAATATATATATATATATATATATATCTTATTGATCTAAGAACTAATAATACGATCTAATACAACCAATCCCAACTCATAGACACACGTTCACATCATGGACTATAGAGTTTAAATAAAAGTCTACAAAAGATGGGAATCCAAAGCACAAACCTTGGATGCCCCCTGGGATTTAATTTATCAAAATATTTGTAGCCAATTACAAAAACTCCAACTTCGGAGAAACCCTCCAAGAAGATAGAGAGCTATAGGTTTTGTATTAACAAAAGTATTGGCCTTTGCTTTACAATGCTTTAAGTGCTGCATCCAACCATACCATACCTAAATTATTGCACCACAAAATTCAAGTGCATGTGGTAGGATGAATAAAAAATGAAAATAGTACATAGAAGATAGGTACTAGTCAAGAGATTATACTTGGTAAATTAACAAGATCACTTCTTTTGCACACAATGCGTTGAAGCTAAGAGCTAGGTTGGTGTTAGTCATGAGATGCCTATAATCTAGGCCATTAGAAGCCTAAACCCATGTTTATAAAGTACTAATATTGTGACTTTCAATGCTTATTAAAGTAGGTAATAAAGTATTGATTGTGATTAAAAGGGATAGTCCTCCTCGAACCAATGCAATGTCGACAAATCATTCTTTATATTCTAAAGTGATCAAACTTATAAAAAGATGCTAGAAACCAAAGAAAATAAGCATTGCCCTGAACCATCAACTATAAAATTAGCGATATTATATTATATTGGGCAAGTATTATCGATTGATGTGATGTGTAGCGATAAAAATATATTTTTTTTTAACTTGATTAAAATTAAATTAAATTTTTTATTGTTTATAAATAATT